TCCTTCCGCCGCTGCGTGGACGATTAGTCGTTGGACGATCGGCTATTTCGTTGGAGTTTTCTGTTCTTACTCAAAAAAGGTGCATTCGAACTTTTTTATTTTATTTTGTTTACGTACGTGGTTGGTTTCAGGGAAGCTTTCAGTAAGTGGTTTGGGAGGCTGGTGGGGTTCGCTGAAACTCATCTAACCCAGTGCTGCGGAGCACAAAACAAAGCTTAGCCGAGGGTCATGGGAAGGCACGGAGGTAGCGCAGCAAAATGAAAATAGAGGATCCTTTTCCCGATGCAAAAGCCATTGCGGCAACCCTTTCCTTCACCACCATCCCCACTTCCAGTCGTACATTACAACCTCGCCCCTCCCCCCTTCCAGGCGGTTTTACGGAAAAAAACATTGACAACCTTTCCAGGGGGCGCCAACCCGAGGACTCGGCTTGGCGCCCCCTCCCTAGTGGCGCCCGGGGCACTTGTACCCCCTTGCCCCCCCCTAGTTACGCCACTGCCGCCAGGGCCAGGAAGCGCCGTCTGGCCGGGAGGAATGCGTTAGTGAAAGGCAACATACACAGACCGCTGACATCAGAAAGGTGAAGGGAGAAGGGGGAGAGAGATGAAGGGGGAAGTGGAGGGAAGAGTGGAGGGGGGAAGTAGAGGGAAGAGTGGAAGAGGGGCGCCCGAGGGGAGTCCACCGTATATTATTTTTCTCTTCTACTCTTTTTTCTTCTTTTTCTTTTCTTTTTTTCTTTTCTTCTTTTCTGTCTTTTTTCCTCTTTCCTTGCCCTCTGATTTGAGATTGTATAAAGCTGAGCACCAACAAACTGTATCTTTAATCCTGATGAAGGCCAGACTCTAGGCCGAAACGTCGAAATAAACCACGTTGTGACCGCTCACGGAGGATCTACTAGACTATATATATATATATATATATATATATATATATATATATATATATATATATATATATATATATATATATATATATATATATATATATATATATATATATATATATATATATATATATATCCTCCTGACTTCCGTGTTGGATTTTGGTCCACGGAATTTCCTGAAACTTTCACAACTGGGTATGTAGATGACGAAGATAAAAAGTGAAGCTTATTATTTCCGTGATGCCTGTGCTTTTGGTATGGCGTGATGTCCAACTAATTGGACGCTGAAACTTAATTAAAGCGTTAAGTAGTGGGCCTGAAGCAACACAAAGCAAGGTTACTGAAGAAAGTTGTGACAAATTCCGGAATAACTGCAAGCTATTATTCAAAATTTAACAAATAATAAAAAAACCAACAGAAAAGTGGACCTTAACTTTCGCCGTTTAACTTCTAGAAGATTGCCCTGTTGAACGCCACCATGTTTTCTTCTTTGTTTCGCGATCTCCTGGCGCAATTTTGACAAAACTTCATGGAGGGCGCCAGTAGATGTCCAAAATATTGGACAAGTGGTTTTTGAGGAAGAAAACATGCTGAGATCTTTGTAGTGATGGGGTATTTCATGTCCAATATTTTGGACAAATCCCCATAGCTGGAACTCAGGAGGATATACATATATATATATATATATATATATATATATATATATATATATATATATATATATATATATGTGTGTGTGTGTGTGTGTGTGTGTGTGTGTGTGTGTGTGTGTGTGTGTGTGTGACGCTATGATGAATGGGTAAAGTGGCCTGGCTCATACGCCATGTTTATTCTATTCTGCCTTCTTCCTCTTCTGCTTCTACAAACCATCCATACCATCATGTCACATGATCCCCCTCTCCCCGAAAGAAGGCATGAGCCACAAATTACAAACAAGAAAAAAGTAAACAAGGAGTGGTGGTTTAGAAGTCACAAATGTCAAAATAAAGATGTAGTTTCACAAGTTTTAAAATGCACGCGTTGTCGTCTTCGTGGCTAAGACTTGAGGGGAGAGTGCAGCAGTCCGATGATATCAATAAGAGATCTGGCGGGCGAGGCTGATGGTTGTGTCCTGGATAACACAAGAATGCTTCGCACGTGGGAATAGCGGAAATCGCAGCCGGCATTCTTGTGAAGAACAAAGGAGGTTCGAACACCTTGCAGAATCGACAGTTCGGATATCGCAGGCATCGAAGTTTTCGTCGTGGCACAGGCCGTTCAGGCAGCTTGCGTGCGCGTTCATCGAGGTTGATTGGGCGCTGCCTGTGTTTCTGCCAAGTACAAGGGGTGCTTTTGTGGCTTTTGGAGATTTTTCTATGGCGATGTAGGAGATGTTTTGATTGAAGGCACATTCTTGATCTTTGGTGGAGAATGTATCCACGACGATGGGCCTTTTTGCAATATTCTTTAAGTCTTAGTAGTCCACTAAATGACGTTTTTTTTTTCGTCGTTCACAATGTTGAAGTATACGTTGACGTTGTAATTTCTTGGTTTCATCAACTTGCTTGTGGTGTGACATTGATCGTGGTGCGCCAGGATTCTTAGCGAGTTCTCCGCACGCTTTTACGATGCGAACCAATGCAACTGTTTCCGGCGCAAAACAATGTGGCGGGTTTCGCGCACTTGAATCTTCTGTATTTATAAACCGTTCACTGGTTGCCTGAAGAGTACTTATGTCATCAGAAGTCGCACCTGTGGTTTTGTTTTCATTATAGTCAGTGAGGTTGTATACTATAGATTCACGTCGCTTCGATCTTGTGATTGATGAACACTTGACGCTTCTGCAGAACTTTTTTCTTCATAAGATGCTGATTGTGAATGCTTCTGTCTTTGTGGAACTGCTGAGCTGATTGTTTTGAACAAATGAGATTTCTGTTAACATTCGTTGTCTGGTTTGGTTTCGTTAGGATTTACTAACTCGTCATGCGTAAATGCCGTCGCGCGTCCGAAGCCGTGTGGGCCATGTGTGCGAGACACGAAGCAACAGGTGATTCGGGTTGTTCAGTAACACCTGGAGTGTTATGGTGCCGTAAACACATAACTGTAAGTTCAGTCTTTTGGCAAAACGGTCTACATTCCTATCGGCATACGGTGGCATTACCTTCTCTGCTGCGACGTGCAAGTCCATAGTTGGTGCTGTAATGCGTGAAGTGCATTCGGACGAGTCATATGATGGTATAATGGTGGAATATTTACTCTCAAGTCCTGTTTGGGAAATACGCTTACTGCGGGAAGACTTCGCGTAACTGTGATGGTTGAGTTGAAAAGCCTTCACCTGACGAGGTATGGACTGGTCTTCATCGTATTCTTTGAAACGGCTGATCATTTCTTCTTTGATCTTTTTTCAAGACTCATCGTTCTCGAAGAAGTGGGTGAGGTAAAACTTGAATGCCTCACCTGAGATGTAGTCCGTGAAGTTTATGATCATCTCCCGTTCCGACTAAGATGCAACGGTAGCGTGGAGCTCGAACAGGTCGAACCAGTCTTGTACGCGTCCATCGTCCGCTGCTCCGGCGTACTTGGGGATGGGAAGGTCAGTAGATGCTTCTGACACGATGCTGGTTGATGTGCACTGCTAGATGCTGGTTTGGTAGTTAACTTATGGTCAGGGTGTCTTGCGGAGAACCTTGTCGTTGATGTGCAAGTGATGAAGGGGCTGCCAGGTCTTCATCCTGTCGACTCGTGTGACGCTATGATGAATGGGTAACGTGGCCTTGCTCATACGCCATGTTTATTCTATTCTGCCTTCTTCCTCTTCTGCTTCTACAAACCATCCATACCATCATATATATATATATATATATATATATATATATATATATATATATATATATATATATATATATATATATATATATATATATATATATATATATTGTGCCCGTGTGCAGACGAAGACTAACTGGCCCATTGAATTATTACTCCCATATATATATATATATATATATATATATATATATATATATATATATATATATATATATATATATATATATATTGTGCCCGTGTGCAGACGAAGACTAACTGGCCCATTGAATTATTACTCCCATATATATATATATATATATATATATATATATATATATATATATATATATATATATATATATATATATATATATATATATATATATATATATATTATGTGTATACACAAAGCAGTAAAACCAAAAAGAAAATGCGAGCAACACCAAGAAGAAAAAAAACGGGGGAAACGCTGGAGGTTGACTTTGACTTTGATGAGTGTAACGCGACAGCATAATGAGACCGTGATTGTCTCACCTTTGCAATCGCTAGGCTGGCTTCACGTCTCGGTGGGGACATACAACATGCTGCAAGAAAACCCATATTGCAGAAGCCCTCTGGGTTCGTTGGCCATGCATGAGGTGCGACGAAACACATTCACAAGCCCAAATGGTGAGGCGATGCCACTTAAAAGTGTGACCATCGGCTCTTCGCACCATCTAGCGGGTGTTGCGTCAAACCACTGAAGAAGCCCCATGATGTGCGTACCATAAACACTAAATGGTACATCAACACTAAATGGCTCACTGTTAGTATACTAGAAGACGTACGTGGCATCGCGGCGCGCCTTTGTGCTTTGTGCCATAGAACAAGCAGGTGGCTGGTTTGAAACCTTAGTCCCACTGGAACCGAAGATTTTTATACTCTTTCTTTATTCGCATTTACGTCAAATTTTGCTCACGGTAAAAATATGATTTCAGCTCACAAGGTTATAATTTCTCAAGAACATGCTTATTAATGCTACCACGCTAGTGAGAGAGGCGACCTATATACGCTAATTTGCGGAAGTTCAAGCAAGATTTTCATTAAGAACAACGGTATTGGCATAGTGTACTTTTTCAGGCAACTTTGCCATCAAACACACAGTGCATGGCTCAGTAACATTATCTACACATGAAACACAGCCTATTCATACAATTATCTAAAAGAAAATGCCACAGTACCTAAGGGCATCGCTGTTTAGAGGGAAAAGACTACGCAGCAAGTGCACTCCAGTTTTTTGTAATATACTCTCGTGTGTCATGTTAGGTCTCTATTTAATGCTTTCTCCTAGGTACTCAGGGATACCCAGTCGATATAGGCCAGCCCTGGGGACTCCCTCTGGATATACGTATTCTGCCCCAGTACCTGCAAGACCTTGGTTACGAGACCCATTTAGTAGGAAAGGTGAGAATTTTCTCGTTCTTAACACTAGCGCAAACAATTAACTTTGCGCCCTGTGCGCAGACTAAATCACCTGTGAAGATACGTGTATTGCAAGCCACCCAAGAGTCATACTCCAAGTCTGCCAGTCTATAGCGACTGTCTTCACTACCATCAGCTTACTCTTGTCTTAAACCTTACTGACCACTTATACACAATTGTAATTATATTATGTAGATCCCACTCAGGCATCATCTCTGTTTTGTCATTGTTCTTGTCGTGTTATAACGAGTCTTTCCCAAGTTCTATTTTAAATCAGCGGTATTGTTACAGTCGTCTTAATGACAACCACCTATTATGTTCATCTTGACTTCTCGCGGTATTGCTCACCTCTAGAAATGTCTTATTGTAGCCTCCATTCCATATGATCATTGTTTTCCTTTCGTCTGTGAAGAAAATAGCACTTGTTGAACAAAAACACGTAAAGAAAACACACGGCATAGGTGATACAAGTTTACAATTTCAATACCGATGGCAATACGTATTAATTAAAAAAAACACTTTCTCCCCAAGTTCTGTGCATAACTTTTCATCGCTTTCGTCCAAATAGATTGTTATTTTCTTTCAAATGTGAAGCATTTCTTAGCGAACTTCGGCAACGCTTTTTTTTTCACATGTGAAGCATTTCTTAGCGAACTTCGGCAACGCTGAGCGTATCGATCTATCAATTTATCTATCTAGCCGCCTACGACTTTTAGCTCTCTTGGCCGTTGCGATCAAGGTATCGATACTAAACTTGGTATGGCATAACATGACTGTAGAAAGAACATATTTGACTAGTCATAACACGAAAATCATGATATGTATGTCATGAATGTCATGCTTTACACTTTATGGTCCTGCAGCTCTTGGGGTGGTTTCGTTGTTGCAAAACTGGGGTGGTATGACATGATTGCATGGCGCACACAAGCGACAGACCCTAAAATGAAAATCATGACATGTGTGTCATGTACCGACACGACTTCATGGCACGCTCATGATGCGCTCGCGGCCGTTTCGCTAGCTTCACATGTACCAAACTCGGTATTACGCGGCGCGAACGGGCGACATAGGTGAATGACACATACAAACATGATAATCATGACATGCGTGTCATTTAACAACATGACTATATGCTACGATCATGATGCGCTCGCGGCCATTTCGCTTGCTTCACATGTACCAAACTCGGTATTACGCGGCGCGAACGGGCGACATAGGTGAATGACACATACAAACATGATAATCATGATATGCGTGTCATGTAACAACATGTCTACATGACATACTCATGATGCGGTCGCGGCCAGTTTCGCTAGCTTCAGATATGCCAAATTTGGTATTTACGTGACGTCAATAGGTGTGTGACTGGTGTAATGAGATGCTGTGTCATGTGAGAGCCTGACTACATGCCACAGTCAAGGCGCCAATACATTTCGACGTGACGTGGTGCGCGTGTTCGCCGGCGTTCATTTCGTCGCATCACCCTGGCGTTGCTGCGCCAGGCGGCGGTTCTGCCATATACTTGATGGCGTGCTCCACGCTGCGTTGCTTTGACGCATGCGCATTTCAGCACGGCCGACATCCCTCTATCACGAAAAGAGGGAGACGCAGTGTTGTCTGGGTAACGCATCGGCGCGAAATGCAGCATGTCGCATTTCGCACCAGTTGCCGTCGGGCTGAACCGACGAACGCTGGTCGCGCCTGGCGTCAGACTATAGAGTGCTCGCGTTTTGCTAACGTAGCGTCGCTGTGCCCAGCGCGCACGCGCGTCAACGCTACATTGGAGTATATTGGGTCCTTTATGATGCACTCGCGGCCGTTTTGCCAGCTCCACGTCAATGGATGATGAAATATGTGACTGGTGCAAACATTATAATCCTGACACGCGTGTCATGTAAGAACATGACAACATACCACGCTCATAGCGTGCTCGCGACCGTTTCGATAGCTCCACACATACTAAATTTGGTACCACGTGATTTGAATAGATGACGAAGGTAAACAGCAGGTCCAAACATGATAATCATGAGACGGAAGTCATGTACGGCATCGTTTGCCTCCACCTCGTAACGTTGTGCTGATTTTAAAGGGACATATCAACATTTCTCATTCGTGCTTCGCATATCATCGATTCCTACTGTACGTAGGATCTGTTTGAAAAAAGTGAGTGGGGCTTTACACATTTGCTTATTTTTTTACCTCATCTTTAAACGCTTCGCGTTGTGTTTGCTTATATTCATTGATTGTGTATCCGTGATCAATTTTCCATGCTGCTATGACTGCCAGGAGCACAATTACTAGTCATGGCCGTTTCGTATCACAGTACTTCATGTATTGGCAATCACGGGAAGTCGAAGCGCACACATAAGTTTGATGCGCATCCTTCGCCACAGAGAGGAAACTCGCGTGCACGAAGGTGCGTATGTCTTCGCTTTGTACAGCAACCGTGATCTTCAACTATCACTCACAAGAGATAGCATTCTAGGGGGTGAAGCACCTTATGGTGTCGGCTTGCCGGCGTATCATGTTGTCGTCACGTCGGCGTGTCATGGTGTAGTCACGGTCCATCTCGAGTGAGTATACGCCTCAAAATTTGGAAAAATCTCGCAACTCATCACCAGTCCAAATTACGAGTTGAAGATTCGTCGCTACTCCCTAAAATGTCATGTTTGCTTGTGCATCGATGTTAGAATCGTTGACGAAATTCATCAAGGCACTCAAGCTCCTCATCTAAAGTCAGAGACACAGACGTGGATCCCTACGCTATTTGAAACACCACTTCTTGAAACAACTGCCCGTTCTAGTGGTTTCCTCGACACCGGCCACTAAGGCAAGAGTTAGCTCGGCTTCACGCTCTCCCGTAGTAGAGTACCTAGTACTCTAAATTGTTACCCACTTTTTCTAAACAATAGTCGATGACGTTGGTGGAGTCTAAAGATCCCTAAATGCCGTTGAGAACAGAAACCTGAAATGTAGGGAAGAACAAGAAGAAGCTCAGGGTAAGTTGCATTCTGACGCAGTTTTTCGATGACAATAGCAAAGCTGAAACACCTTCCCTACATGCCCGCTTTCAGGCTTGGCCCCACTGCTGCCTCATCAAAAAAATCTCCCTCAACACGGAGTGACAGAATCACCTCAATCGAGCCCTTCTTCTACGTATGCTTCTTCTGGCTATCATTGACCATTAGCAGCGCTTTTTGCTGTGAGAAAAATCAGCGGCACCTGCATGATTCGTTCCTCCCATGGTCTCACCTTATCGTAGATCTGAAACAACTTTCCCTACGGGCTTCACCACTTCTCCACTTCTTTTTCTATATTCACCATATGACTGAAAGAAATTACAGTACCAGTGAAGGCAAGTGCATGTCCCAATTCCACTTGTCTACTGAACAATTTTATGGCATTTGGTTTTACCATGGGGCACTTACACCTAGGAAAGTCACCGCTGCGTGCTATAGTTAAAGATTCAGGCGACTGTACGTCTTTTAAGTTACAGCTCAATCCTTGAATAAGTACCAACATCTCTATGAGACGCTTTATTTGAAGCGCAGTTTTGGGCAGACCTCATTGCGCAGAAGGTAAAATGCAACACCGCACAAATAGTTGTGAAGTCATTGCTGTTGAAAGTACGCATATAAATCTGTGCACAGAAACATATGTTAAAGGGGCCCCCTGCAACACTGTGTAAGCATGGTGAGAAAACACTGCCGACCGGTAGCAGAGGCTCCCGAGAACACGCGAGCCAAATATGGACAATAAATTATCAATGACACCTAAAGATTGCTTTCTCTTCCTCTTGACAAATGTTGGAGAAGATCGAAGATCACTCGTAGAAAGCCTTGTATCTGCTATTGGCTGATTTGAACGTGGCGTTCAAGGTCGTTACAGAAATCGCCGCGGGAGTCCTCAACTTGTACACGCGTGTGCGTGCGATCACACTGAAAAAGCCGCGTATTCGAAGAAGAAAAAAAACTAGAAAAAGTGGTCAAGGTCACGAGGCACGCGTGACGTAATTTTTCCCATGCCAATCTCTCCTCCTCCCACTACGCGCTGCTTAATAAAGGGAAGCTGAAGCACTTTTCTCAGAAAATGACTTAGGAGCTTATAAGGACAGTTTGATCCTTGCTGAATTAGAAAATCGATGTGAGAGCTCTCAAAAGTGAACGCCAATAGCACTTTTTGTAAAAAAAAACAGTGGCTGTGGCTGCCGGGCTTCTTGAGACGCCGAGCAAGCACGGTGACGTCATTCTTGGTGTGCCGCGTCATCTGCAACAGCAGCACTGCTGAAGTATGGCCTCTTCGATTAGTTCCGGCAACGACACGTCCTGGATTAGTCACAGAGGCCGTGGTTGAAGATATGAAAGAACAATTTCTCACATATAGCTCGGAACGAGGAACGCAATTCTCGCTTTGCTTATGAAGTTAATTTAGCGGAGGGTGAACGCGCGTCTACTTGGTTTCGCCATTGTTTCGCAGCCAAGCTGACCGCATCTCGTCAGAACGCGATCGTGAAGAATGCGAAATCAATGCAGTTCCCTGCAATTCCATACCTGAACTGTCGCGAGACGCTACATCTGCACGTGGCTGAGTGTGATCGATGCTCAGCTAAACCAAAGGCTAGACACGCTTATTGAGCGGCCGAACCTTACATCAGAGTGATGAATGGCTTCGTGCTAGAAGAAACGAAGATGACGCTTGTTTCCACGCCCACACTTTCTGCGTGCTCGCGGTGGGGGGACAAGACAAGCTTTTATTTCGCCACTTCCAAAGCTCCTGCTGCTACAATCGCGAAGACAATTAAGACATCGTCAACAATAATATCGGTCCTTTCTAAACACGAAGTTTGATTGAATTCTAAAATTGCTTCAGTTTCCTTTCAGCTTCCTGCACTTTCGTAGGGGACGACAGAAAAGAGATAGCGATTGCAGCACGGCGAAAACCCTGTAACTGCGCTCGCACTGGACAGATTCTCAAAGATTTTCCCACCGCTGTATTTGTGAGGCAATAAGCTCTCTTAGTGAGTTAATTCTATGTTTACTTGAAAAACTGTTTCAGGACCCCAGTAATTTCCCTGTATTGAAAACAATAGTTTTATGTACGGCGTTTGAATTGCTGGGTATCTGCTCTTAACAATTCTCACATTTTTACTAACTGATATCTGCATCAAACATTCATAATTCGCAGTTCTAATACCTAACACTTTTTACTACCACTACACTTGTCCTGTGAGGACAGCTGGCAACTCAAATGGACTAAATAAGCGAATTAGCAATGACGAGGCTGACATTTCGTTCGTTCTTAGTGTCATAAAAACAGCCACATAACCTAGAGTTTTTCATATATTTTTCTTTCTCACTGCAGTGGCACCTTGGCTCATGCATGAAGAGTCTTACGCCACCACAGCGGGGATTCGACAGCTTCTACGGGTTTTACTACGGAGAAGAGGACTACTACAGCCACAATGCAACTTACGTGAGTGTTCAAAACAAATTATCCACGGGGTGGCTTCGCGGTGGATGAATCTGAAGTATACGCTTACCTCCGGTTGTTACGGCCGTGATGTTTTATACGTAAAATATCAAGAAAAAAAATACCCTTTACAATAACCACGTCTTCGCAGATCTGTAAACATGAGCATTTCTGTAGAACTATATGGAAGCAGCCCTCGTTATAGTAGACACAAGCGCAATCTCCATCGTAGGCTTCTAGGTTGTGATGTAACTTTTATTACCCGTTATTACCGCGTGAAATATCTCTAAAAACGTGGTTGCTCCCTCCGTCATAGGAATCGATATAACACGAAAGTAAGACATCTCCTTACAGAAGTAGTTTACTTCTGACTGTAGATTGGCATAAGAAAGCTTATTCGATATCTTGTGGTGCTCGACACATAAATCATCTCTTATTGTAAGTACATCAACGTAAACCCTTCGTTGAGTGACCTACAATAGGTCTTTCTACCCTTGATGTTGTGGTCTTAGATCTTAGTGAAAACTGCAGTAGCTAACGGTGACAGCGGAACCAAATAAAGCGGTGTGACAGCCAGAGATGCGTGACTTATCGTACGCCAAACTCGGCCTAGTTGCGTACTCGCGGCCTGTCAGAGCTATTGAACGCCACTGCCCGATAAGAGGGAAACGTATATACCACGTTTTTCGGCCTCTCTGTTAGCCGGCCATGATTTCGTGTGGTGAGCGTAAGAGTTTAATCCAGGCGAAACAGGCGTGTGGCTCTATGCGTTGCACAGCTATTAAAAACTGATAGTCCTCTTGGGATACTCCAACGCAGAAATGTTGGTCTGTTTGTGTGTCTGTCTTTTTCTGTTTAGAAAAAGTTTATTTACACTATGTACAAAAAACAAAAATTTCATAATATTCCAGTAATGAGCATATATACATCGACAGATCTATGTACCACGACCAACATCACTACGTTGAAAGAAAGACACCATTGCTCTAATATACATGGCAATGTTGGCATACGTGTACACAAGAATTCATGCGACATCATGATACAGGGAATGGTATAACGATACAATAGATGCAATGAAACTAGCCGAGATTAACTTGCAAAAGTTCTATCACCAGATTAAGGAGAATGAGGAAACTTTAACTCTTTCCTAAGCGACCAGCCATCTTGACCTGGTTTTTGCGTTCATACGTTAAGACATGGTTAATCCAAAAAACAAATATTACGCATGTTTTGCCGTACCATCACTAGAGGGTCATAAGGTGGCGTGTTAATATATTTTGGAAATGCATAGATACTTCATTATAAAGACAGCAGTGTTTATTACGCGGCACTGGTGACCCGACGTTATGACCGAAAAACGGGTATTTGCCTCCGTTTCACTAAAAATACATGGTTTTGCCACTTAGAGGCATTCCGCGCCCGATCCTCCAATGTTTTTCCGTTTATCACGGATATAAATGAAAAAAAAAATCCCATGTTTCTCGAAGTTGGAAACTCGCCTGGCTCGTTTATTTTCGTTTCAAAAAGTTATTCTGCCTATTTATGAGTGTCTGTAGTGTTGCATCGACTGATATGGAGGGCGTCAAATAATATTTTTTTTCTGAAAAACGTTTTGAATACACTCAACAAAATGATATTTGTGGCAAGGTAATAAAGTGATTTAACTGTGAACTTTATTACCTATTTATGTATATAAACTCTTCTTGGGCTTTTCCCACGAACAGTATAGAAGAAATTTGCCAAGTTTTGCAGTGTTTTTTGGGAACATGGCAAGCTGAATGAACACAAATAAAACATGTGCAGATAGCCTGCTTGGCATGCTACAAATTAAAAATAATTGCTGTGCTGAAGATATAGCAGTCAGTCTGAAAAATTGCGAGTTTCATTTTTTGGGGGGAGGTGAAAGCATTGTTTTCAGCGTCATAAACCTTGTCTTGGTAGTCGGACTAAAGTATGCACAATATCTCATTAGAAAACCCCATATATTAGCTTGAAATAGGTGAGGTTACTAGACGGTAATATTTTTATACATGAGACATATTTTTCGAAATTTCGCATCTCCCCCTTAGATTTTTGCCTACGTAGCTCAAACATCATGACACTCTCCAAAGGGGAATTATCAGCCTAAGGCCACTGACCTGGGATACAGAAAGCAAACTTGGTGCTCTCTGTAGAGCAATCGAAATGGAAATGGAGTTATCACCTGCATTCCATTGGCAAGACAGGTGCACTAGAATTAATATAGTGAGAGTGGGAAGACCAGTAGCGTAGCAGAGATATTTTACGGGTGGCGGTGGTGTGTGAGGGGGCAAGTGATTTTGGTCATACTTTGTGTACGTTCGTATGTTCATATGTGTGCGCGTATGTATGCACATATATACGTCATGGGGGGCGGGTGTCGTGCTGCTTGAGTTAAGTAGGCCAGAAGCTGGTGATTGTACATAACATCTAAACATAATTCTAAAGTTTACAAAAGAGTACCCTCTAGTAAAATCACGAATTTTTAGCTAATACTTTGGGCTTTGAAATGAGGTATAGCGCGCATTTTAATCTGACCACCAATGCAAGTTTTTCGCTGCTGAATGCAGAGCTTTTCCCGAAAAAGATAAAATCGCACTTTTTTTCAGACTATCCGCTACAGGTTCAGCACCTATATCTTTTTAATTTGTAGCGTGTCAGCCTCTTCACTTTCACGTAGGGCGAGTGTCACTACCATGAACCAAAGCGAAAAGATGAGGTCACCTTCACAATCTATTTAACGAAGCCAGCCAAACAGAGCCACCTATTGCGCACGTGTACAGACGCCATTGGTGCAGCGTTATCCAAAGCTTCGTTGTCGTGCGTTCGTCCAGAAAAGAATATCCATTCTCGACCATAGTTTCATCACTCGCAAGCTGTTCACTTTCACTAGAATATGACGAAGTGTTCAACATCAACAATTGTCTGACCGGCTGTGAATCTATTTCTAAGAAATACAGAGGCAAGTTTAACTTCAAGTGCGTCAGAGTGTGCATGAATAAAGCATCGTTAAACATGTTTGAACGACACGCAGAAACACAAACGCGGCCATTGTTCTTTAACCCACACATCCTCTTCTCCCCATTTAAATTGCACATTAGCTTATGCACAATCAAAAAAGTTTCATTTTTTGGTCAGTCGTTACATTAACTTACATCGTTAGACTAAATAAACCACACTTTATATGTAACCTTTTTGACGCACCACCATTCAAGCTTTCCGAACCACATATTCTTCTGAACTGTGCCTCTTTCGGATGTCTGCGCTTGAAACGATGCTTTTTTACGTGGTCAGATTCTGAGATCCCTAAGAGCTTCTGCTTTAGAAATCTGCGCAAAAACACAGAGGCGTAATTTCTATGCGTGCACTGTATGGTACGGCTAAATGAAGTACCTCAGTATCACCCTCTCGTGATTGGCTTTCGCAGGAGGACCACACGGGTCTTGACTTCTGGTTCAACGACGAGCCCAGATGGAGAGACAGCGGGAAGTATTCGACGACGTTATTCACTGAAAGGGCCCAGGAAATCATACGCAACCGAAGGAAGGTGAAGACGCTTCTCGAAAGATTTAAGCGCTGTTTAAGCACTCGCCTGGTAATATTCGCGATGATTTTCAATGTCATGCCATCTTAAGATGAATAGTTACAACCATGCAGACAGTTGATGAGAAAAAGGAAGATAGAAAGAGAGGCAATGTAAATGCCGAATGGTTGGTCATATAGCTTATGACTTGCAAACCTGCACTCAGAGAGAGTGCCTTCTTAACATAGATGTTAGAGCATGAAGGTACACCTCTCGACCTGTGTCATTTTGTTTTTGTCAAATCTCCCTGTGTTGTACAGTTACTTCCCAGTTAGTTGTCTTACCGATAGATTAAACGTATGCCGAGAACCTCATACAGCCAGCTATTCCACGTGGCGCTGAAACGTGGTGGATAACAAAGCAACAAAACCCAGAAGTTGGGGACCACGCAGTGGGCACTGAAACGAAGCATGATAGGAGTAACGTTAAGAGGGCGCACGACGGGGTAATGGTTTAAGAAACAGTGTGGTGTAGCAGGGTATTCTAGTTCACATGAAGTGAAAGTAACGTGCCTGGGTTGGCCACGTAATGCGTAGTAGGACCAAAAACAGGTGCACTGGAAGAGAAACAGAACTGTTACCGAGAGATGGGAAAGACAGCCGAGGAATCCGGAGACTTAGATGGGTTAGAATTAAAATGCTCGCCGAGATAAAATGGAATTGGCTTTCGCAGTGTGGGCTAGACTGCAGATAACCAAGAGAGGCCTCCATCCTGCAGTGAACCTGTGTAGGCTGAAAACTGTATTAAAAAAGTGTTCCTATCTTATCAGTGTGCTCACCAGTTATTGCTTCGATTGAATTGAATCCCAGCAAATCTGCGAGAACAGCCCCTTCTCTCAAAAACTAATTTCCCCTCGAAACGATAATTTTCCACCGACTCTTTTTCATCTTTGCCTTTGATATTCCATCGACAAGTATAGTGCTGGTGGTTGGCAAGGCAAGGAACCACTTGAATTTCCCCACTTTTCTTCAGGAAAAGGAGGAAAAATTCGGCACGTTTTTTTTTTTGCCATACCTACCCCGAGTGTACCTGATATTTTGTAGCACTACATTGTGTTCTGAATGATACGAAGATTGCATTTACCAATTTATGGCGACATTTTTTTTAAATGCGGTGTCCGAATAGAAATTAAAAGCGTAACAGTGACATAACAACGTTCGGGTGTTAGTGCCAAAGGCTAAGTTTTTTTGTGTTTCTTTCATCTATCATGGCTAGTATCCTACTACATTATCAGCTAAGAGGACTAGTCTTGGAATAGTAATACTGGCTAATGCTGCGTAATACTGCGTAGTAGCTGCGTAATGCTGTGTGACGCTATGATGACTGGGAGACGTGGCCTGGCTCATACCCCATGTTTATTCTGTTCTCACTTCTTCCTCATCTACTTCTCCTAACCATCTTTGCCTTCTTACGTCACAGGATTAGTGTGACGCAGGAGGCGTGATGGCTGTACGATGAACCATTTATTTGTCTTCTTTACCCCGACATGACCGAAAGCGTCATGAGCTTTTTGGAGAAGATAAGACCGGAGGGCAAAAGGCACATAGACTTTTCGTATTCCCCTGCGTGTCACTATACTCAGTCCGTTCTCAATGGTATGCTTTCCGGGTGGTTTGTCGTTGTCATGCTCTCGCAGTTGCTCAGCAGATAGGAGTTGAACTACCGGGCTTCGAGATAGTGCATCAGCTTCAATGTTGTCAATGCCCTTTTGGTGTTTGATGTTCACGTCGTACATGGAGAGTTTCAAGGACCACCGGGAAAGTTGGCCTCGGGAATTCTTGATGCTTTTAAGCCATTGCAACGCTGCATGATCTGTGATCACAGTGAAAGGTTTTCCGTGTAGATAGCAGTGCCATTTATCGATGGCGTCAATAATTGCCAAACATTCGAGTTCTGTGATGGCGTAATTAATTTCGTGTTTTAGTAACTTCCGTGAATGGTATGCGATTGGGTGCTCTCTACCTTCATCATCAGCCTGCTTCAAGACGGCGCCAATACCTCTATTGGATGCATCACAGTATAGCACACAAGGCTTAGTGGCATCGTAGATGTTAAGGATTGGCTCTTCCGTCACGCATTTCTTGAGCTGAGTGAAAGCCAGTTCACACTCCGCATCCCAGTTCCAGGTGGCGTCTTTGCTGAGCACGCGCGTCAGTCGGTGAGCGATTTGACTGAAGTGGTTGATGTATCGCCGGTAAACATTGACAGTGCCGAGAAAACGCTGCAACTCTTTAGGGCGTGATGGTGTCGGAAACCGTAAGATTGCGTCCACGTTGCTTTGCTTTGGAGTGACGGTGCCATGCGAAACCTTGTGTCTCAGGTACTCAATGGAGGTTCGAGCGAATTGACATTTCTTTAATTTAAGCTTGACGCCTTCGCTTTTGAAAGCTTTCAAAATGCCCTCCAGATGCCTCAGATGGTCTGGAAACGTGTCAGAGTAGACAACAATGTCATCGAAGTAATTCGTGACGTTCTGCAAACGGTGTTTTGCCAATACGAATTTGACAGGCCGTTCGAAGGTGGCCGGAGCATTCCGAAGGCCAAAAGGCATGACGAGCCACTCGTAGTGACCGGTACGTGTGACAAACGCCGTTTTCGGAATGTCATCAGGGTGAATCTTCACGTGCCAGTAACCTGACGTTATGTCTAATGTCGAAAAGTACGTAGATTTCCCCAGAGAATCGAGAACGTCATCGATGCGAGGGATGGGCTGATAATCAGGCACCGTCAATTCGTTCAGCTTGCGGTAGTCGATGCAGAAGCGCGTGCGTCCTTCCCCTTTTTTCTCTGCCAGAAGTGCTGGCGCAGCGTATAGGGAGGTAGATAGTCGTATGACACCTTGCTTGAGAAGCTCATTGATCTGTCTGTCCATTTCAACGCTGTCAGTTTCTGAGCATCGATAGGGAGCTCTACGAATGGGAACATTGTTGTTGAGATGAATGCGATGCATTTCACCGTTGATGCACCCAATGTCTGTCTGTGACTTGGAAAAAATGTCATCGTACTTGTGGATAAGCTGCTTCAATGCCAACTGTTGAGTTTTATTTAGATGTAGTACATCACAAACTTCAACACCTTGCAAAGACGCGCCCTTGTTAACCGTGGTTTGGTTCTGTGTACGAGAATGGATGATGTCTTTCCCTTGGCGTAGAGTCATAGTGTCAAGGTCCAGCGACAAGTTAAAGAGGCAAGCACTATCCAAGCCAAGAAGTAAGTTGCTCTTCATGCCTTGTAGAACATGAGCCTGAATTTCTCTTGTCACTTTTCCTATCTGTACCTTTAGATTAACGCGGTAACCCCTGGTTCACCGGGGTGGACCGTTCAAGTATATCAGGGCTGCTGTCGATAGCTGTTGGAGCAGAAAGGGAACTACCCGCTCGCCGTCTTATCTTCTCGTGAAAAGAGCATGAAGATGGAAGCCTAAAGCCTAGTTCACACAGAAACATCCGCTTTCTACAGCGACCAAAGTTCTCCTGCCGCCGAAACGCAGCGTTGTTCGCACTGGACGCGCCCCGAGCCGCCGAATATGCCATCTACCACCGGGCAAACGCGGGATGGATGCGCTGTCACCCGGTCGTTGTCACGGCTCGCAAACGTCACTACGATATCCGGTGGTGTATACTTCGATGATTCTCGTACGCAGGAAGCAAGAAAAGACTACTGCTTACTTTGCTGGCAAGTGGCTGTCTTGTAATGCACGAAGAGCAGAAAAAACCACCGACGCCAGCGGCGTTGGCGGGTTCGTTTTGCTCTGCAACACCGCAACAAGCTCGGTCACGCCAACAGCAAGCTCGGTCACCTCTTCCACGAAATACGTGCGCGAAGTAGGCACAGAGTAGGTTAAACTGCCATTGGTTTCAACATTCAGTTACGTGCGCTGCGGCATAACAAGTGAGTAGGGCTTGGCCGCCATTTTTCAAAATTCCTTGACTAGCGCTCCTATTGGTCCGCGGTGACCGATTCGGCGGCAGACGCCGCAAAAATCGGTCCGAGAGCGATCGGCGCGGAAAGGGCCCTTTCGGCGAATCTCGCCGCCGCCGAACCGGATTCGGAGCACTTTCGGTGGCCGGAATGCTCAGTGTGAACGCGGCCTAAAGGTGGCGGCTGCTTACTTTGACTGACAGGGTGTGATCAACCGCAGTCCCGCGCTTACCTGTGGAAACCATGAGCAGATGTTTCGTGGCTTTTCACGTAGTTCCCCTTCGTCGCAAAGTTTTGAGTTGAAGGCGTGCACGACACAAAGGTCGATTCACTCACTGCAGTGCGTGACCACGTTTCCTGAAGAAGTAAACTTGCTAACGCTTTCTATACGCACAACGTTCCGATTTGTTTCCATCGAATTCATTACTTCGCCCTTGCGGCGAAACTGCGACTTTATTTATCTATGCAAAGGAGAACATCTACCATTTTAGAGAACGCGAACTGTACCTCAGGACTCTTGTATCAAAGTAAGGTTGTGGCGGCCTACTAAACTGTAATACCGCGAAACGAGATGACACTACTAGTTCTATCAATATCATTGAACAGACGTGTATATATATATATATATATATATATATATATATATATATATATATAGATATATATATGAGATATGGCACAACGGGAGTGTTGTCAACAAGGAGGATAAAAATATCTATTTCCCAACAGTTTCGGGAAGGGTCCTCCCTTCATTAGGGGATGAGTTATACTGACATGAACTTCCAAACTTCGTTGCTGCCGCGTCCTTCTCGCCTTGAAAGATGTTTGCGAGAGTGAGAGGGAACTAAAAAAATGGGGGGGAGAAAAAAGACGAAAAAGAAAAAGAAAGAAAAGAAAGAAAGTAAAAAAGAGGAAGAACCACTGTTAACACTGAGAACGAAACCAACTGTCCGTGTACGTCCACATACGGTTCTTATCACGTGCTGTTCAGTTCTCGGCGTGTGTCGGGCCACCCAAGATTGTCGCCGTGGTGCCGGGAGGGTCCGTGACGGCGTGCGTAAAGAAAGGGTTTCCCAATGGGTCGGTCGGCTCTTTACCTTTAATCTTCGTCCGTTTCCCTTCAATGGTCATCAAGTGGTAGGCGAATGTAAACA